TTTTAGCTACTGCAGATCCGAGCTCAAATGCAGTTATTCGTATTACATAACATCCAGAGGAGAGCTTCGATTTCAAACTCTCTACATGTTTGTTGAATTTTAAGTTATTGTCAATGAACAAGCGAAGTAATTTAGAAGTTGGTACGTTGTCAATTTGAATATTATTTAGATGTACGGCTGGAATCTGGCAACGATAGGACACTACTTTTGTTTTTGATAAATTCAAGATCAAGAGATTTAAGTCAAACCAGTCTTTCACTTTCGTGATGTCATTCTCAATAACTGCATACAACGTACGGTTGTCAGGAGCATGCCATACAATTGTGGTATCATCAGCAAATTAAGTAAATTTTCCTTGGATGGGAATAGACGATAGGTCAATAATGTAAATCAAGAATGAAAGTGGGCCCAGTACCGAACCTTGTGTGACGCTGCAAGTAATCTTACCTTCATTTGAGTATGAAGTAGTTTTGACCATCTGGGTGCGATCTTCTTAGTATGATTCAAACCACTCAAGACTTATTCCAGTTATACCGTATCTACTGAGTTTCCGTAAAAAAATTATGATTCACGCAATCAAATGCTTTGGCTATATCACAAGAAACCGCAGCCACTGTTTCTTCGTCGTTTATGTTGGAATAACATTGTGAAGAAATGAAAGTATGGCATTAGAAGTATTTTTTGCTTTTGGAAACCAAACTGGCAATCACTTATTATTTTATTTTCATTCAGAAAGCAAAGGAGTCTTGTTTTAACTAATTTTTCTTCCAATTTAGCCATTGCAGAGATTAGAGAAATTGGACGAAGATTTGATGGTCCATTGATGACTTCTCCCTTTGGCAGTGCTAACACAATCGACTTCTCCAAAAAAACTGGAAAGACTCCTTCTCTGAATGAATTATTCATTAGACCAACTAATATATCGAGTATTCTTATAAGACGAACTTACCTCATGTTGAAATAAAAGCTTTGATATTTATACTCACCATTCAATGCCAAAACATTCGTGATGTTTTGATTTCTGCAAAATGAATTTCAGCATTCATTGAATTCATTTTTTTGAAAATGTTGGCATTAGTTTGTGGGGATAATATTTTAAGGACTAATGAATGATGAGAGAAATACCAAGTTGTCAAAAAAAAATTTCTTTAAAATAACAGTTTCTTCAGAAGTGTTCTCATAGATTTGGAAAGATGCTATTTTCAGGAGAGTATCAAATACATTGGGTGTTTTGATGCCTGAAATGACAAGTTATCACACAATAAATTTTTCCGAAAAATCAATTTCAGGATTTATTGATTTTTTTCTATAAATAGTTTAGTGTAGTTTAGGTACTGTGTATATGTAATTGGACTCTGTCTGTATATATTCAGGATAAATGAATAAATGAATACTTTGTCCAGTTGTCCCCTAAATACACGGTGTCCAGTGAGTATATCTGTCCTGCTGATTCCTGCTCTGCTGAAGCTGCTTTTCGGTTTGATCTCTTCACAAGGGTTGCTTATTACGGATTTATTTTCTGACTAGCGGACCCGGCGAACTTCGTTCTGCCTAACACTCAATGAATGAGCAGACTTAGGATTTCAAAATTGATACAAAATTATTGAATATAATAAAATAAATGGTATTGGTACATAATAAAATAAATGGAAATTGGTAGGATACATTTTCTGCCAATGACAGGTTCTGGTCCGATGAAGCTGCTTGCAGCACCATCCTTTGCAAAGGAGTCAGCAGCCTCATTGCCTTCCCGGCTAGTATGGCCAGGAATCCAGACCAGAGACCATTTGTTAAGTCTTCCTATCGAGGAGAGTCGTTTTTGGCAATTTTCTACCAATTTAAACGTTGCTCGGTAAGATTTCTGAAAAATGAATTTCAGCATTCCTTGGATTCATTTTTTTTGAAAATGTTGGCATTAGTTTGTGAGGATAATATTTTAAGGAGAGTAACTAATGAATGAGAGAAATACCAAGTTGTCATAAATAATTTCCTTTGAAATAACAGTTTTTTCAGAAGTGTTTTCATAGTTTTGAAAAGATGCTATTTTCAGGAGAGTATCAAATACATTCAGTTTTCTGATGACTGAAATGACAAGTTATCACACAATTTAGTTTTCCGAAAAATCAATTTCAGGATTTATTGATTTTTTTCTGTAAATGTTCCCATTAGTTTGTGAAAATGGTATTTTCAGGAGAGTAGCTAATGAATGAAGTCTTTCAATTAGAAAAATACCAGGTTGTCATGAAAAGTTGTTTCCCAAAAACTGAATTTCAGTACCTATTAATAAAAACGTGTAATATCGGTTCGGATTGATCACCTACATTTATTCACAAAATTAGGTATTACTAGTAATTTTATTTGTTGGATAAACAACGACAATAATTCCAAAATTTTCAAATATGGTTTTTATCCAACAGAGAACATTTACACTTACACTTTTCGACAATCATCAATGATTTTGGTTAAAAATTTACGGGAAATTTTGTCGTTAAAATCGTAAAAGCTGTTTAAAATGGGACCCTAGTCAATGCTCACAGTTCCTAACACGCACTTTGCTATTACCAGAGTATTACGAGAGTATCCAAAAGTCTATTATTACTGACCGATCTCAACAATCACAGTTTTCATTCATTCTACGGCCGATCAACAATGTTTGTTGAGCGATTCTAGATTTTTGTGGTCTCCGAAATCGAATGTGTGCAGCGTGTTCTTTGAAACGGGTTTTAATGGCTCGGTTAGTCTGACCGTGTTTTGCCACAGTCCTCTTACCTTTCACGTAGTTTTGGTGTTATACTACGACTATTAGGAGTGATATATTGGGGATACTCATAGCGAACCCGATTTTATTCAGATAAACTGTCAAGCGATTGAAATGAGACTTACTTGAATTTTTTTCTAGATATGTAGTTTTTATTATACATCAGATTTTTTGAAAATCAGGTGAAGACTCTGCTGAAATAGGAATTTAACAAAATTTGAAGAGTATTTATTACTTTACTTCGAAAAAACATCTTTAACACATGTGGGATTGTAATCGCCTTTCATAGCAAGTCCACCAAAAAAGAATACGTTCGAACGTATCCCTCGAAAATATATTGAGGTCTCGAAAAACCGCCCAGCACGAGCCACCCCGTCATTACACGTCCGCCACCTACGGTGATGGCCCCCCGGAGGGCCGTCCGCCCCCGCCCACCCACCGGCAACACGAGCCGGATCCGCCGCAGCCATGAGCAGGGAACAGGTTGGCCGGTAAATGAGCAATAATAAAGCCGGCGGGTGGCGTCGCGACGCTGCTCTGCGGTGTGGACGAAGCGGCGCGTGTCTGACGCGTCTCGTGTCTAACAAGCGACCCCTCTCCTCCGAACCCCGACGACCGCAGACGGGCGGATCTCAAACTGTGGGGACGCAGCATTCGTAACTCGTTTCTTGATTATGTTCACAACTATACGTACTACAGTACTTCATACTTTCAGCTATTATTATTACTTTTTTCATGAAAGAGAACTGCGAAAACATATTCCCCATGAATTGTTTACTAGTTGCAAACTCATGTATATATTCAAAATAAGTACATTCGAAGCATTTGTTTTTCGGCCACAACTTATCCTAATCTAGTACTCGGCCTATCCTTACAATATTGAGTGACCCCACTCACTGAAACAGTTGATAAACTAGCAAAACTGATTTAACTAGTTACGAATTAAATCAATGGAAAGAAAAAAATTTAAAAAATAACATAAATCATTTAAGAATCATTTTGAAAGTCGACTCTCTCTTTTTGGTCTTTGACTTTCACAGGTACCTTCTCCGTTTGCTCTTTCTTCTTTGAGTATTTCCTTCTTTCCATCTTCTATTATTTTCCCTGAAATTTCAATCATCACTGCTATTTCTTCACTGCTTCCAGGTCAACATTTTTCTCTCTAACATCGGGCAACTTCATCCCTTGAGCTTTAAAGTTATCTTTCATATCTTTAGTCTCTTTTTCCTTCTGATTTTTTTTCTACTCACATTCCTATTCTCACATCAAGGCTTATTTTCTAGTTCTCTCAAACTCCTCCTATTTACAAATGCGTTCCTCGTATTCCCGTTTCAAACGCTGTTATTCAGGGCTTCCTACATAACATCTATTGTCTTCTAGAGGCAATAGTCCTTTCTTTGTTTCCTCGGCATCCGTATTTTCCTCATCTTTTTCACCTTCTTTTTTTTATTTTCATGTCCCCGTTCTGGTTTTTCATCTTCTTCAGGATTTTATATTTTCACTATAGCCTCTTCTGTTTCTCCAGACTGTTCTTCAACTGATGTATCTTTTTCAGTTTTTTGTTCTATCAGTTCTTGTTCCATCGAAGTAAGTTTCTATTGCTTATCTCTTTCAGTCAAACCGGCTCTATATGGTTCACTAATGATTGGTTTATCATTATCAACAATGTCCATTTGTTTGAATTCAGTACAGGTTACCTCCCCTAAATCAAATGCAAAGCAATTTCGATGTTAATTGAATGGAAATGCTAACCTTTCTATTATACCTTCACCAGTGCCCTGTTCAGCGTTCTACTTTGATCATGTAGTCGTTTTCAGCATTCAAATACTAAAAGAGTAGATGTCTACTATTCGTCAGCATATTTCACTTCAAATGTCATGTAGAGCTAGTCAGAAATTTTATAAAAATGAGAAGACATGAATGTTGAATTTCTACGGAAGTTTTGAGATGTAAAGTGTAAGGAGAAGAGGGCCCAAAAAAGAACCCTGGTGGACCCCAAAGAGAGTCTAGTAACAACTATCGATTGTCCCGCTTTTAAACTGAACAAACTTTATTCTGGCAAAACGAAATTTAAATTCGTCATTTCCCCGCCGTTTGACGACCGCTGCCTTTCAGTTCGATGGTGTGATGTGGCGGTGTCGGCACGCGACTAAAGCAGCACCACCGCCCCCGCGCTTATCCCGGCTACCGCACGCGCCTACCCCTTCCGATTGCACAGCTCACGAAATCGTGTTCCATTACGAGTCCGGCGTCGCTTTGATACAGTCGACAGTCGTCAGCTTTACTACGCGTTCGGACATCGCGTGGGCCATGACTGCGAAAAACAACAAAAAACCGTCGGAACCGCGCCGTGCCAATAAACCTCTGATGGAGAAACGCCGAAGAGCCCGAATAAACCAGAGCCTGGCCGCCCTCAAGACGCTGATCCTCGACACGGCAAAGGCCGACAACACGAAGCACTCCAAGCTGGAGAAGGCTGATATTCTAGAGCTCACCGTGCGGCACTTTCAACGGCACCGAAGTCTGGACGTCCAGGGGGTCAGTCAGTACAAAGCCGGATACTCGGACTGCGTGAGGGAGGTCCAGAGGTACTTGGAAACGCCGGACGCTCAGACTATGACCGTGTTAGAAGCCGGTGTGCGCCAAAGGCTTCTCAGGCACCTGGACAACTGCATTGCGGAGGTAGACGTCGATCTCAGGCAAGCGAGTGCTGCCCTTCCTCCTTCCCCGATAGAGGACAGGCTGCAACCACCAGAAGCGCCTAAGCTGGTGAAGGAAGTCAATAACAACCAGGCCAATCGATTGCCAGAGGCGCCTTGTGAAGAATCGGAAGTTGTAAAACAGAAAAGTTTCGATGGGAATTATGTGCTGCTTCTCCCCGAACATTACGTTCAGCTGGCAAGCGCCCTAGGTGTCAATTTAAGGCCACAAAACGAAACCGACTCGAATCCAAGCACTTCGAATTGTGACAGGCTCGAAGAAGACGTTAAGCGAATAGAAACCCCATTGGATTTCAGCGGCAAGAGTAACGATCTCGCCGATATGTGGAGGCCGTGGTAATTGAGAATGGGATCTAGGTTTGGTCGACCTGGCGACTGGTTAGTACAAAACTAAAAATCTAGACCTGTGTGACGACTTTCTGTGTTATTTTTTAGTCAGACTGTAGCTAAGTCGGATTCTTCCTGGTTTTTTAGTTGTGATATTTGTGCAATAGCTGATGGTATTTGTGGTATTCTTTAGCCATAAACTGCTGTGTAGGAAGAATTTATGTGATTATTTATTATAGTTTGAAATGTTGCCAGAATACTTTCCATTGTTTTCTTTGAAACACTTGTAAATATGTAAATTTTAAGAAGGAAGTAAATGTACATACGAAATGTTGGTAATTTATGAGTTTATGTTTTTTGTTACGACATAGTATGGATAAATTAAAGTGTTGAAACTATTAGATATACTTTCTATTCACAAATTAATAACCGATTTTTCTTGAATAACCAGATTTCATATTGAAAATATTCTAATTAATGAAAACTTGGAATGCTATCTTCAAGATAAAATCCACATAAAATATCAAATTATTTCAAAACTGTTTTGAATGCTCTTCAGGACAATATAATTCAAGTTTACTAACTGTATTGAAGCTAATTTTCTGATTTTGATTATTCATAAGCTTGATAGATTATTTTGATATATAAAATGAGCAGTTTTAATTTGTAAATATGAATAAAATTTCACCTATTATGACCATTTAAAATAAGATAAAGAATTTTATAATTCAAAAAGAAATGGGAATAAAAAAAAATGTTACAGGTTACAAAATTCGAAGTGAACTTTTTTTCTGAAAATCATTTTCTTTATAAATTTACAGTGTTGAGAAATATATTCGATCAAATTCAATACCATGAACGAAAAAATGACCCTGATACATGAATATCAGGTTTTCAAACATTTTTTACAATTCATGTTTTTCAGATGGTTTTGTAATTATTTGAGTCTGAATATATTGATTGATAAATTATGAGATTTGTATTGGCATTGAGGAAAATTGGTTTTCTCATCAGGAAATTATTAAGCTGTATGTATACTTGTGATGTACTGTTTGGAACCTTTGGTGTAGTAATGAATATTACTGGGAAAAAAACTCCAGTAATATTCAAGCTGTATGTATAATTCGCGAAAAGTACGAAAATAAAAATGATTTTACACTTTACGAGCAGATGTAATGAAATGAAAAAATATTTTTCCTGATGATACTACTTTGAAAAAAAAATTCCTATCTGAACTCTGAAACTTTCAGTGAAATATATCTTTTGGAAATATTAAAAACAGTAACATAAGTAACGAAAACACATTCACGAAGTCTGATTTAATACTAGACCAGTTTGAAGTATTCTCACTCTTTTGGATAACCAGTGAAGATCAACGGTGGACATACATTTAATCTCACCACAAATACGGTTTTTCGCTATCGTATTATTGATGTTTTCAGAGTCAGAATATCAAGAGAAAGATACGAAAACACTATAAAAACATAATTTTTTCAATTTTTTTTGACTCATTTCAGCTTATTACTATATGATGTCGTTGAGCGGTTTTTGACTAGTTTTTCTCTACGAATTCAAATTGAACCAAAGCACTGCCGAAACAGCCCGAAAAAGCAATCTGCCATTTGGCAATGATAGTGATATGGAACGAACTGTTCGATATTGGTTTGCAAAATTTCGTTCCGGATATTTTAGCCTCGAAGATAAGCCCCGAAATGATCGACCTACAGTAACCCAGGACGAGGATTTGAAGACCCTGGTGGAAACTGACCCATCACAAACGGTGCGTCCGATGGCGGAAAACTGGGCGTCAGCTTCCTTGCTAATTTTGATGGTCTAAAAAGTATAGGAAAGGTCAAAAAGCTCTAAAAGTGGATGCCCCACGATTTCAATGATTGACAGAAATTGACACGTTTCGAAGTCTGCCCTCTTTGCTTCTGCGCAACTAAAACGATAATTCATTAAATTGGAACTATTTGGCTTAATTCCGTCAAATGTGAAAGCTGACCCTTGATAACGCATTACAGAAATACTATTGATCTTCATTACCCAGCGTTTATTATTGTTATCAACCGACACTCAATAACTTTATTTCGTGATTTGATTTCGAGTTAAAACAAAGTTCAATAGGTTAGAGTTAGGGTAATCTAGGAGGCCATTCCATGACACCCCCACTACCAACTCTTAGTTCAAGGAATGGTCAACGCGAGCAACATTGTGTGGAAGTGCCCCTGATGAAACATCTATTCGTTATCTGCATGGCTGTCGTCTTTTTCAACTATTTCAGTTATCCTGGAGTTCATTTCATCATTCAAATGTAAATAATTATAACCACTCTGATGTGTAGGTACGTGGTCTTCGAAAAAAATGGGGGTTTATATTTTTGAAAGACATATTTTGTGGAGAAGTCAATGTTAGTTACTGTTTTCTGGGGGTTCAAAACCTTCCACAATCTGATAATAATCAATTGCCAATTTGTAGGCAAAATTTATGAATATGACAAGTTACTGACCTATTGAAATTTTCAGTGGTTTATATTACACAGTAACTTTTCGGGGTGAACTTTCCAGTATCGCCTTCATTACACTTTAACAGGTTCTCTATTGGTTTAGCTTTGTTTATTTTTCAAATAGTGGAAGGTTATACACCCAAAAAACAGTAAGAAAATAAAATGAGGATTAATGTCGCTTCAGTATTGACAATTATGTCCAAAATCGAAATTTCAAGTTCAAAGTTGTTATGGAATTGGCCGCCGTGGTAGTGCGCCCGACTCACGATCGGAAGGCCGTGGGTTCGATTTCTGCCTACATCAGATATTTTTCTCGAGAGAATTTATCTGGTTGAAGCTGGGATGATTCTGCAACAGTGTTAGGAATCACACGCTAAAAGGTAAGACCTCGTTAGTCCTTAGCTCGCATAAGTTTCTCAACTTCTGAGAGTTGCCCTTCGTATGGGGGCGACAGCTGATTAACGGAAAACAGATTTAAAAAAAAGAAGAAAATTAAAGAAGAGATTTTGACTTTTGAAGTCGATATTTCCAAGAAACAAATACTACAAATATGTGGCTTTTCTGAACCACAGCAAAACAGCAACTGTTCGATTTCCACAAAACAATAACTTGAGTTGTCAAAATAAGAAACATTTTGAAGATTCTGTGTCGCAGGCAACTGTTTATGTCAACAACGAAATGTTCCGTCGGCAGGCGGAAAGATCAAAAGGTTTCGGTGTTTTATCTGTGTTTTTGTAAACAACAAAACAAGTAACTATTCAGATAGAACACATCTGTGATGTGTAATATGTTTGAAAATGTTTTGTCCTGGTACATTATCAGTACATTTGGTGGAATTCGAGTTTGTTTTCGAAACTAAAACAAGTTTTTTGTTTCTGTTTTTGAAAACGGAACTGGTCGCGACAGGGTCAAACTACAGAGTGACATTCTGAGATTTTCAACTTTCACTGCATCGCGTCCGGTATCAATGTTTGATGGATTCAATGCCCACAGGAGATGGAAGCGAGAGATGACGGCTCAATTAGCAAATGCGACTGACTGCACATTCCTCGAGTAATTTACGGCTAGATGCCTGGTGCACCACCAACGTGCACTCCAATATCCGTGGAGATTTCGCAACAAATCTCGATGGAAGCGAGGCGCAATGTTGCGAGATAAGATTCTACGAGGGTAGGTGGTAAAATTGATGACGGCATTGTCAGCAATATGATACTCTGTTTTCTGATAGTAAATACTCATAGAAAATGTGATTTCGTTATATATAGGTGGGCTTATGATACTTTACCGGGTTCGCCCTAATTTTGTATCGCAAACAAAATATTTTATGAGCCTTCGGATCGTTTTATATCCGTAGTGTCGTGCGTTTGGGTATTAATGCAAAAATACATGCCAAAACCAATAACTATGTTCCTTTATTTATATAAAATTAATATTGCTATGAAATTTTAATTCAAATATAATAAATAGTTATGCCTATTGAAGAAGACATTAGGTATAAGCAAATATGCTTGTGTGTTATCGTCTAGAATCTGTTTTAAATTTGTTTTTCCGTTAACCAGCTGTTGCACCCCTACGACCGACAACCCTCAGAAGTCGAAACTTGCGAGCTGAGGATAACCGAGGACTTACCTTGTAACGTGTGATTCCTAACAAGGGTTGGACGATAGCAAGTGAAAATCGATCGTTCAGACCACCGACCAACACGACAGTCAATTCGAGTGAGTGAACAAAGCACCCACGTCGAACCGCCTGGCTACCGACCACCCAGATAAATACGATGAATCTTCGACGAATGTTATGATTGAAGGTTCCATAATTTTCTCAAATGAATGGGTATATTTTCACATGTTTTATAACATTTTCAATGCATTTTAATTTTTGCCCATCATTGGAAATATACTTTGATCTTCTTTCAAGGCTCTTATTTTTTATTGGGGGTCGGTATTTCTATCTTAGATTAAAACGAATGTACCTACTGTTTTTCTGATTGCTAGTTTGTAGTTTTCATCAACAGCCAAACTTTTTCTTCGTGAAGATGGTTTTGGTGATTTCACAAAATCATTTTTTCTCTCATTCTTGAATTTATTTATCGATGATTTTGAAACTCACATTTCCACCAGAGTCCACGGTATACGAAGGATTTTAGTGTATGGGAGCGTCATATGCTTCAATAATAATTATCTTTTATATCACAGAAAAAGCACATTTGCTCATTCGTTTCACTGGAAAAAACTGAAGTAGCCATTTGAATTCACACGCGCAAGGGTTTTGTAACCAATTCACATTCTTCAGGTAATAAAGTACCTGATTCAAGTAAGCTGTGCAGGTTTGTGGTACATTCAAAAGCGCTTTTCATAGAAAATATTTGAAATTCAAATCTGAATTCAAGGGTAAAAATAACTTTGGGTGAATAATTGAAAAAGTCTATTGGTCATTAATGCTAGTGATCCATATTTTTGTTACTCACCGTATAGATACATACTACCATAAAAAGTCTTTCGAGATTTGGTATATCAAATTTCACAACTGAGTTCCCAAGATCTTGACTTGACTCTCAAGATATCGCTTTTTTCTGAAGATTTTTTTATCTCGATTTTCTCTATAGGTTTTAGACTTGAAATATTCGAGATTCGAAAAAATTAGGTCGGGAAAAATTTTAATCTGGAGAAACTATTCAAGGTCAAGAAAAAAATTCAATATTATGAAAAAATAAATCCAAAGGAGCGTGGATTCATGACAGTATTTCTGTTTTCCTCGTGAATTGGTTGACAAAAATCTCCCAACTGATTCTGTTGTCTGTTCTTATAGACGTTGTCCTTGCAGACAACGCAAAAGCCAATAATGTTATGGTTCCAAATTCAACTCATTAATGTTTGAAAGTTGCAGAAAAACCGATTTTTTTAAATCTTAACTTTCATATTTTCATCTGAAAATTGCTTAGTTGGCTTACATATCCTTATCATCATTTTAATCTTATAGAGAAACGAAAAGATACTCTTATAAAATCAAAATACCGAAAATAAATTTAAAAAATGATGCTGATGATGGAATCATGTGTATTAAGCAATAATACATTCAAATTTTCACTTTTAGTGACATCTTTCACAATCTATCATAAATAACCAGCTGAGTGCCATCTATTTTTAAGTAGCTTAGTTACTCATGATGAAATAAACGCGACCTGAGATACAAAGGATTTTTAGACTTAGACCATTGTCTAAAGCATCCTTAGACAATGCTTAGACAATGACAAAGGTACGGGGTACGCGCGTAAACCAGAAATGACTGACTCTCTTAGCGGCACCTACCGTCGGTCGTATACTTCTCGTCCAAATCCAAGTTAATTTTAGATAAGCTTTGATATTTCAGGCTACGTCTCTTGTTTTTATGATTGAATAGGTTCAGAAAACATTAAAATAAAATACTTTTCCTGGGATTCTAAGGTTATGTAATTCTTTCAATGTGGAAAAAATAGGACACTCATTTTTTCCCCTTTAAGCTGCCTTTAGAATATAAAAAGTCTTAGATTTATAAAAACAATTTATTAGGACTAATTCGAAACATTGCTGGCGTTAGGTTACTTTTCTCTATATAACGAACCTTTGGTGATTATTCCGTCAAGAGAATCCTCCTTGATGACCCCAGCAAGCCCATCATCCACAGCTCTACGTTTAGCTATATCGGTTAAGGCTTTGAATGTGTAAGGCTCCCAACAAGCCAAGTTTGCCAGAGTTTGTCTATTTAGCAGTATATCACTTCTTACAAGACTCTCCCGAAATGTACTATATTTGATGTTATGTTGTTCACAACCTGCTATGATTCTAGTTTCCCACAACTAAAAATGTATTGATGAATCGTAAAAAATAATGAATAGTTAACTTATCTTACATTAGCCATGTCTTCTTTCCTTAGTTTCCGGGCTTTTGTTGCATATACTAAAGCACGGTGAACATATCTCACTGCTATACTGTAACAATTTCGTTTTCTACCAACATAATGCTGAAAAATATTCCAATTTCAAGAGTGAAATGTGGGATTTGAAAATCTTACAGCAGCTAATTTAAAAATCCTACGTTTCCGCCAAATTTCATCCGGGCCTCGAGATCTTATGAAATTAACTGCAGTGGTAAATACCATTGTCTACTTTTATACTTTCAGTTGCAGATAAATGTTTTCCTATTTTCTATTCTTGTTTGATTTGAAGTACGTAACTAAACTTTAAAATTACATTCAAAAAGTAGGGTTCACTCGTACTAACCTATAACCTATAATTTGTCAACTGTCAAAATTAAGATTTGGTTTGTTCATTTGTGTTTTTGCTTAGAATGTTATAATCGTTGTCTGCTCTTCTTTTTTATAGTTCTGGTTTATCGCATCTGCATTGTAAGTATGTCTTCGTGGGAAATTAAGAACTATCCCAAAAAGTGATATGAATTCAAATTTTGTAGCTCTATCAGTAATGCTTTTCACTAATAGTTTTCATGAGCAGTTCTTTTGAAATAGTTGTTCAATAGTAGGAAGTTTGACAAACACAGAGGTTTCTTTGAAAAAGTCGAAATCGTAACTTTTCAGATAGATACTCAGTTTCTCGATGCTTATCATACTCGTTGAACTCAAAGTATATATATTAGAATATCCACGAACTTAACTAATATTATATCACACTTAAATGAAACTCTTCAGACATTGCATAAACGTATTTTTCTGTCAATTATGATCCATGCTATTAATGTCAACTTGAGTGTCCTGTCTCCTGTCGTTATTGTCAGTAGCTCAAAATGGAGGAGTGGTAAACATTGAGAAATATTTAGGAATTTATTTGTTTAATTTCATTAACATAAACAAGACCGTTCAAAATGGACATTCTCCCAGGTATTTTCTAAGCGAACCCGGAAGAACCTGCACGTTTTGACAGTGCTCTTTTAAGTGTTGAATGTTATTGTACTTATCTGTAGACTAGGAAATGGGTATGCACTGTTTTATTTTTGAATATTTTCGTAAGATTCTAGGAATAGGTATATGTCAATGAATGTCTAGATTTTTGATATTGATGACTAGACATGTCGGTTAATAGCATGCTCTTCAATTTCCAGAGGGGGTTAATGCATCTTTTAAAAAGGGACCTGGACTTTATGAATTTCTCATAGAAGCTGAGTTACAGCAATATTTCAACAGTTTCAAGTAAGTGCATGAATATATGATTTGAGTTTGTCTCATATGCTTCAATTTCAGAAATAATTTGAAGATTACCCACCCTTCCCAACTCAAATTCACCACAGAAGGAGATTTAATCGAAATAGGCATGTCCAAACCAGAAATGCGACGCCTTAGGAAATACTACGAGAAGCACTTTCCACATAACTATCTTTCAAAATTTAAAAAGCTACTCACTCATCGTAAACATGAGAGTGCTGTCAATGATGCCTGTCTTTTAGGCAGCACTGATTCTTTAACCTTATCTAAAGCACCAAGGGTTTCAAGCAAACATATTATTCCTGCTGTGAGCATAACGATAAATAAGGAACTGGGAATGGGGGAGTTTGGTGTTGTCCAGCAGGGGGTATGGTGTAATGAAGGGGAGAGAATCCAGGTGAGCTTTTTTACCCATATTTTCATAGTTATTGAAATTATTTGATCCTAAAAATATTTCCTAAGGATTTTTGTCAGCTGAAAATGTTAAGTGCTTATTAATTAGGTTTGTGATAAAATAGGATTAACTAATGCTTTTAGAAGTATGTGAAAGAATGTAGTTCATTTTAGTGCTGGTTGTTTTTAAATTATTTTCCTGCTAGCTAAACTTATCCAAAATTGTAATAATACTACAGATAGAACATAAATTCATTGTTGAACTGGCTATATAGTGGAGCAAGTGTTTGACAGCCAAGCTCTAGTCATTGCTTACTTTACCTACCCTCTTTATTTTATACTGTAGCTTACATTGTTTTGTTGGAGTTTTGAAGTGCTGAAAAATTCTTGAAAATATATTTTTCCCAATAAAATGTTTTTTTATTTCATTAAATATTGTGTTATATTCATCATTATTCCATATAATTAGTCCCTGTGCTAGGAATCGCATGTTAAAATGATAGAACTCGGTAATCCTCAGCTTGGCTTAGCTTTAAAGGTTGTCATTCATAGGGGTGTGATAGCTGCTTGATGGAAAAACAGATTTTAACATATTCTTTATGTTCACTATTTATGGTCAATTACAATGACTTCTGAGTTAATAGAACCCTTTCTGATAGAAATACAATCATTTATAGGTAGCAATCAAATGTCTTTCCAGAGATAGGATGCAAAGTAACATGGTGGAATTTTTGAAAGAGGCTTCTATCATGCATAACATTGACCATCCCAATATTGTTCGTTTTTTTGGAGTAGTGCTCCCTAATATTGAGGGAAGTCTCATGCTTGTGACTGAATTAGCTCCTCTAAGGTCGTTGTTAGAATGCCTCAAAGAACCTTCTCTAAGATCCAGCTTCCCTGTGTTGACTCTCTGTGATTTTGCATATCAAATCTGTGATGGGATGCAGTATTTGGAGGCCAATAGGTTGATTCACAGGTATGATTTTTTTCTTTAAGTGCATTTTGTTTGTGTGTCAACTACTTACATGTGATTATTGAAAATACTAAGACAGTTAAATAAAAATGATGAGTAGTAATCTAAAATATATATTAGTTCATTTTCAGAATTATCCAAAGACAAACTATTGATTTTTGATGTTGAGATCTGTTTTAGATATTTCTATGGTGTTCAAGAAGCTCTCAATCTTTAGTATTGACATCTGTCTTAAATGTTTTAGTGATGTACTTGTATAATAAGTTTGCTATATTTTCTTTCCATTTATATCTGGTAAGAATTCAGTTACAAGTAACTGATAACAGAAATTTGATTATTCATGAACCTATTGTTGGTGTTTTGTGAGCTGGTTTTCTTAAACTTCTATTACTTTCTATTTGATACTCAAAGTAGATTGTAAATTGCATGCTTATCGAAATGATTCAAAAACAATCATCAATTCTGTATTTTGTTTTTTTGAAGCATTATTCTTAAAAACCAAAGATCTGTTACTTGTTATTTCCATGAAATTTTGTTTGTACCAGAACAAGTGAATGTCACAGCGGCATCATATATTCTTATCTTTACACGAATTTCTGGTTTTTGTGAGTCAATGTGATAACGTGTTGTTCCTTTGAATAATATTTGATAATACTAATCGCTTTCTCAGAAGTATCTTTTGTACTGGTTTAGAATGCATTTTCACCTATTTTTTCCATGAATTCAGATAACATATAGTACAAGAGGTTAATTTAATTCAGTTCTTGATATTTTTCCCACGTTTAACAAGTTCACTTTATTTGTTCACAGCCTTGTTTGAAGCACATAATAATTATGGCATCCCATTTTATAATAAACAGCTATTCAAATATATATTTGTTCTACAAAAACAAGCGATTTGATACATCTTCAAGATACGGCCAAGAGTATCCTACAGAGAGTTATTCAACGAGCTTAAACTTTTTACTTTTCCATTTCTTTTTCCTTGAAAATGGTTTGCTATCCTGACTGCTGAACTTTGAATGTTCACTAGACTGGCGTGGTGGAGAAACAGTTCGTATTACTGGTCTGGTTAGTCTTGATGTACTGTACACAAAAGTGAAGCTCATTATGATTTGAGTATCAATGTAATCTGCCAGAATACTAACTTGAGAGTGTATTGTCCTTCATCATTTGTTTAGCTCCTAATATTATTTTTGTTGAATTTTGGTTGTAAATTTGTTTTACTTTTATGTATTTTTATCTCAATTTTTTATTGTGAATGTATTTATTATATTTTAGAATTGCAGATGACTTTGTCAATAAGACAATATCTTCAGATTTTTTTTAGTTTGATTGATTAATTGATTGAATGAATGATCATTTGTGTTGTTCAGTTACTTACCATATATATTTACCATATATTTTGATCTATAGGAATTATTGAAATTATCATCACATTATGCCCTGAATTGCATGGAAACATAATATTAATAATAAATGGATAGAACTGGCCGATACTTGATGAAACTCCATATTAAAAAACTAATCAATACAGTTTATTGTATGATTTTCACTATAAAAGGGTTTTACCGCGACATATGTTCCGCTTGAGGAGGAGGAAAATAATACAATAAACTGCATTGATTAGTTTTTTTTATTAATAATAAAATTAATTCATTGGCAAATACCAAAAAACCATTGACGGAAAAGGAAACATTTGCAATTGTTTATATTTTGTCACAATTCAACTTGAGATTAAAATAATGTCTCGTTTTACACATCCATAAATAAAAAAAAAAAACAAAAAATTGTTGTATTGATCCTCGAGTTATTCAGATACAATGGGTGCATAATATTAAATTGGTTGGATTCTCAACAAAATTCCCCGAAAGTAGATAGATAGATAGATATATACTTTATTGTTCAAAAAAGACAATCTTATTGACAAAGCTTGTTAAAAAATCGGGTATTTATAGCACTTCAAAGAATTGAAGAAAAGAAACAATTTATAAACACAAATACCCAGAAACACAATTTGAGCAAAACTAAGTTCACGTATCAAGTAGATAAAATATAACAATAAAACCAAGTTTGACGAAAAAATAGTTTGTATAGTCCCTTTCAAAAAATTTAAAAAACAAATACACACAAGTTCACATGTCATGACAATAAAATAAGATATGTCAAAGTATAAAATATGATTAAAAGTGTCAATATAAACAACAACCAAAAAAAAACATATATTAAATCACAGCAAAGTTCCATTGTAATATTCACCAAGCTTGTAGTACGCTTTTGTTGCAAGGGCATCTTTAACAAGATTTCTGAACTTTTTATAGCTTTTCTCCTTCCTAATTTTGTAAGGTATGTGATTATACAGCTTTTTACTTTTATAAATTAAAGAATACTTGGTCTGACTTATGTTTGGAACAGGAAGATGTATTTTATTTTCTGTTACTTGAAGGGTTATGTAATTTACATGTTCCGAAGTTCCAACCATATTATGTTTTTTGTAAATCAGGCAAACAGTTTCCAGAATGAAAATACAAGAACCAGTGAGAAATTTTTCTCTCAAAAATAATGGTCTGCATGACTCACGCACTCCCACCTTGCATAAGTATCTATTTTTGTTCGATAAGTTTTATATTTGTGGTCTGAAATAGATATTCTTTTGAATAATTATGTGGAGGATGTCATATTCATATAGTTGTTTGATAAGAAATTTTAGTAGTAGATAGATGTGTATAAGAGCTAGGTCAGGGAGTTTTGAATCAATCCATGATTCAGAGGTTAGGTAGGAATTTGTAACAGTGGAAAGAAATATATATTATATTATAATTTTTCATACTTAGTGATGAACATTTTTTCTTGTTTTTTTTCTCAGAGACCTAGCCGCCCGCAACATACTCGTTTTCTCCAAAAATAAAGTGAAAATTTCAGACTTTGGCTTGAGCCGGGCACTCGGTCAAGGAAAGGATTACTACCAGACCAACTTCAATGTTAACCTCAAACTTCCGATAGCATGGTGTGCTCCGGAATGTATAAGTTACCTTCGTTTCACCACTGCCAGTGACGTTTGGGCTTTTGGCGTCACTCTGTGGGAAATGTTTTCTTACGGATTTCAGCCATGGGCAGCTTTGACTGGGCAACAGATCTTGGAGGCGATAGACGAACCAAACTTTCAAAGGTGGTTGTGTCGAATTGAATTGCACATTCCTATATATCTGAAACTATCTGATTTACAGATTGGAGCAACCCGACTGCTGCCCTTTGGATCACTATAATCTGATGATGGATTGTTGGAGACACGAGGCTGCAACAAGACCTAGGTTTGCAGATATTGGGCCAGTATTAGCCGAATCGAGGCCAGAACAAGTCCAAGCGAAGTTGTCGTCCAATGAGGGGCCCCATATGTTAAGTTACAGGGTAGGAGATGTGATAACCGTACTAGATAAGAAGTAAGCAAATTTATATTATTATTTTTTCTTTTATTATTTGGAGAAATATAGTTCATAAAGATTTTACAAAGATACAAATAACTTGACACTTAACAGGCTGAACTTTGGCAATAAAGTATAATTATCATTTTTGATTTTTTTCATAACATTTTCTCTTGTTTGTTGCACTGCTGGTTTCCTTAAACCAATTCATTTCTAAGGGTAATTTATATTCAATAAACTCCAATTTGTTTCATCGAGTGTTATTCCTGCTTCAAAGACGAAGAAGCAACACTGGGTATGTTTTGTGAAGTATTTGGTTATTTTTTTTATTAGCTTAAATTATCACATTTTCTATATTTTTTTTCATAAATAAGGAGGGTTGAAGCATTGGAGAAAAGAATTGATTTTTGGCACACAAAATCATTTATATATCAGATTTCATAATGGCGTTAGAATAGATCCTTGAGATACTCTAATTGAACTATCTAAGGTATTTCATTTGGAATTATTTACTTCAGGATAATGTTTTTTGCCATATCTTTCTAATTTCTCTAAATGTGCGAACATTCTATAACATTTTAATCTGTCTTTGAAATATTTCTGTAGAAGTTGTCACAATGATTGAAGTGGTTTTCAGACATGATTATATATAATTAATGAATCAAGAAAAGGAAATTATGTTTGAACTATTTAATACCAGGTCACCTATACTGTATGGTTATTGTAAATAACTTTCTAGGAAGTAATGATGTGGACTTTTTCAATGTAAAGAAATTTTATTTCCTCTTCCTTCTAAGGCTTTAGGTTTTATTATTATTATGATTTAGTATTTTTATCTTAAATGAAAATGTATATATTTGATTATTTTAACTATTTCATTTAATATTTGTTACTGTTAGTGTCTGTATTGCACATTGTTGTTTTACCACCTTAACCTTGACCACAGCGTATACATGTAATTAGATGTGTCTAATTGTATGCAGTAGAAATAAATGAATAAACAAATATTTTTCTATATTCAGAACTCATCAGCCTCTTTGGAAAGGAGCGACAGCAAGTGGTAAAACAGGCTTGTTCGACCCAGGCAATGTAGTTGCCTACCTGGGTAGCGATTTACCGAGTTCCTCATTTTTACGTACTGATAGCACTAGGTCGTCTGCCCGTAGAAAACTACGCAGTGAGATGATCAGTGCTCCACAGGGTGATTTCAAACATACAGGGCATGTTGGTCTCGACGGAGCCTACTTTGGAGATTTGAGCTTCTTGGACGGATCAAAAGGCAATGTAAGTACTGCTATATGCAGTTTGTTTCCAAGTTACAAGAGGAATAATAATATTGATAATAATTTTATTACCCATTTTCAGTACTTAATGTACTAAGGGCAAGTCAATAATTGTACTACATGAAAAATACGTATGAAGAATGAAAACAATAGTCTGTCACTCTTGACACATATACAAATGTCACAATTAAAAAAAAAATACATATATTATTTCACATTGGGGATTATTATCAGAAATTATCACCCCAGTAGTCGTTTAAACTATAAAAACATCATATTATAATTAAAGATTTTATCTGATTTGAACTCCTTGATTCAGTTCGACCATTGATAGTAAAGTGAAACAGCATTGTATATTGGAGAATTTTTAAATTTTTGATTTGTGGGAAGTATCCTTAACATACCACCACGACGTGTATGATAATTATGTTTTTGTTTTTATAACTTGAACCATTTTTCAATTTATCTCAAGAAACAAACCTGTTTATTTCAACAGGATATGAAAAACATAGTATTCATGTTTATTTTAACACAAAATAAAGAAAAAATTAGATAGTTGTAAATAAATAGGACACAATATGGCAAATGAAAAGAAAATCTCTTAAATAGTAAGTGTTCACTTCTCCAAAACATTTTTCTCATTTTTTTTTCAATTTCTATATTGCTTTTGTATTTTTTACTGTTTCTGGTAGCCAATTATAAATATAGTTATGTTGATTTATGTTACTGCAGCAACATCAATATCATGCTTAGATCAATTTGAACATAATTATAATTTAAAACGTTTTTACCAAAATATAATTTTTTTGTACAAAAATTCTTTTTGCTTTTCTTCTTCTCCACCATTAAAAAACTTTGTAATGATGTGGAAGTAGAAACACAAAATGCAATTTTTTTACAAAAAAACGGATCTCCCCTAAAAATATTTCCTTTTCAATTTGTAATAAAGTTGTATCATCAGCATAAAGTTTGATGTATCCCTTCAGTTTCAGATTTGATTTTGAGTTGAATTAGAAAATGTGTTGGACCTAATATAGATTTTCCTCCGGCTTATATGTGTTTTTAATCTTTCAGAATTTGTATTCTTAAGATCAAAAACCCAGATGATCACTGAGAAACATTAATACATCCACAAAAAAAATGTCTTTCAAAGAATATGGTGTGCAGCCTTTAAAAAATGGTTATCTGTTCTCTAAATAATTTTGAAACCATTCTAAAACTTTTTCCCGAGTACAATGTTTTTTTACTAAAAATTGTATGACTGACTGGATTAAATGTTTTACAAAGGTTTACAGATACCAGCATTATTGGTTATCATCAATTTTTTTGTATATCTATAATGATCTCTAAAGCAACCAATCTTGTATTCTCAGCTTTTCGAAACCTATACTAACTGATAAATAACAACAGCCAGTGTCTAACGAATTGTCCGATGTTTCTGGTTTTATGAGCTGTCTGCAACTTTTTATACCTGACGTTTCCTCTGTACTGCAGTAAACAATATCTTCATTATTACTCCTGTAATGAATCTTTTGACAATTTACATTTTTTTGTATCAACTCTTTCAGTATGCTAGTGTTCCTACACAGGTGGTGGCACCGTATCGCCCCCACAAGGATCTGGAAGCAGCTCCTCTTCTCGAGGGGGATCTCATTCCTGCTCCAGTATCTCTACAGGATCATGAATACCATGAAATTAGCGATGAGGAGAATACACACAGTCCAGGCTTAGATTTGGGACCGTCTCTGATGGCTGAAATGGAAAGAATGTTTAGCAATTTGGGGCAGCAGAATCATTCAGTGGATCACGAGGGGTCTAATAGGAGTAATGAACTGAAAGAAAAAATGAACACCAAATCAAGGAAGCAGGCTACAGTCAAGCCGATTTCGGCTCACGACCAAAAGACTTTGGATACTGCAATAGCAATGGCAAATGAGATCACGACAAGGTATTTGTGTGTTGGAGATTTTTATTTATTTATGTTTATACATTGAAGCATATAAAAATATATTTTTTGTACCTTTTGGGTTAGTTAATAAAGATTAACGTTAGCAACAATGGGGAATGTTCCTCAATTTGGGTTATTACAGCAAATGCAAGTTTGAACTAAATAAAGTTGAGTTTAATTCATGAGTTTTTCAAATTGACTTCGAAAAGTATTCAAATTGATATTTCAAATGTTGGGTTTTAATTTTTAGTGAGATCTGTTTCTAATTCACATATTGGCAACAGCGCGTAAGTATATCTAGTTGAAATAATTTATACGTACCTAATAACCGATGTTGCCAAATGGTGAAATAGAAATGAATCCCGTTATATGTTGAATGCATTATTTCATTCCGCGTTTTCAAGTATTAAATGATATTTTAAAGAAAAAGGTTGAAATGATGAGTTTAAAATAAAAGAAAAAAGAAAAAAATGAGTTAGCAACAGTTGAAATGTCAAAATATATACAAAAAACAAAAATAAAATTAGAAAAATAAAATAAAATCAGAAATAAAAGAATAATCAAGAAAATGCAACAATTGAAAAATAAGAAAATATTTCAAACTTAGTTACTTCATGACGTTTCAATTGTTGATATCAACATTCATCTTCTGGTGGTGTCTGGCCTATTCCCGATACTTAAGACTGTTTATAGATCACTTCATCCCTCCTCTCAGTTTTTATTTCAGTGTACATAGGGTGTTTTTCCATTTGATTAAAGCTTTTCATATATTGCACACCTCCACACTAGTCTGGCTAAATGTGTCATTGGTCAACAGGTACGCACCTTCTTTGAACTTCCTCTTAAACCAGTGTTTCTCCTTGTGGATGATCTTAGCAAAATTCAGTAACCAAAAGGAAACGTGAAAGTAACTTGGTTTGAAATCTTTTTTATTTTTTTCATTTTCATTGTTTATGTTGATTATTTTATTTTTTATTGCATTTCTGTTGTTTTTATGTATTTCACCTTTTCACTTATTGTTAACACACTTATTATTTCATTTTCATTTCAGGTCACAATAATTTATTTGCTTCACAAATTAGTTTTCCTACATTTTGAATTTATATACTCATTGCTCATTCATTTTTGATCAATTCTTTTTTTTGACCAAGGAAACTTTTTAATTTGCAAAGGGAACCTTTTAAAGTGTTTTGAAACATTTTCTTTGTCTCCAATAATTCAGTGACATTACTTTTGTGACCACCGTCATAGTTTACTCCATATGAAATCAAATAACTTTCTAATATTATTGATGTTAATTACTTCTATTTTTTTTTTCTAAGATCGATGTCAGCTCCAACTCCAACAACTCCTGCCTCTCCCAATAAGAAGAAATTCAGTTTCAAGTTTCCTTCAGTGCATGAACATGATAAGCATGCAGAAAGGAGGAACTTTTCAGAAGAAGCACTATCTACATCTGATTTACAGGTAAGTTGCCATTACAACTTTTCACAATTTATCGATATATTGTGATACTAGGAAACACATAAAATTGGGTTCGTTTTTTCACTTTGGTAAATACAATGTCAATGACTGTAAAGGAAAATGATTCTTGCATTGGAAAGAATCCTGAACCACTATTTTTTTCTCTATTAATAACTCTAGAAACGTCATGACATTGTTATGAGGGAATATTTTGAAATATGGAAGTCATCTAGAGGATTTGCCTTTGATTAATAAAGTTCGATTTAGTTTATTCATGTCCACATTCACATTTTTGATATTTTTTTATATTGGGCTAAAACCCTGGAGTATAAAATTTATTTTTACAACATAATTCAAGGCTAATTTCTAAACTATATTCCTACTTAGAATCCTACTGACGAAAATAGGATTTTCTCATGATTAAATCAATCATATTTTTTATGATCGTTTTGAGCTCTCTTAGACTTTTTTGATCAGTAGGTCCAATCAAATCAAGATATTTTTTTCTTAAAATCCCAAACTGCTTCTTCATTACTCCAGTGAATAATTTTTAATTTTCTTTTCTTTTCAGAGTCGTCTCAATCATAGACTGTAAAAAAAAGCTTACTTTTGAAATATTTTCCTAGTATGAAAAATCGAGACATATTAGGAACATTGCACTCTTGTTTTTTCTTATCAAAGAATTCCTCCCTTTTTTTTAATAACAATGTTTATTCACCATATTGATCACATTTATGTAACAATATTTTGGAAAGAGTTATTGAATTTTACTGGCACCACTTAATCCAAATCATCATCCATTATATCGAAAACAATTTTTTGCTTCAAGTGTCTGATTGATTATTGAAGGAGACTAAAATGAGCCCAAATTTAGTTAGTGGGATGATTCAGTTTTATGCAAGTTTTCTCATGTGTTATTACTTTCCCGTGTTGATGATCAATGAATAGAAATTCGAATAAGACTATGACCTAAATATTAAATATAAATTTTTTATCTCAAAGTGGTTTTGCTGGGTTAACAAGGGGTTCAAAGTGCCCCACAAAATGAGTCAATAAAATCAGTAGTTATTGTACTGAGGAAAAAGTAATGCAAAATACCGAAATTGCATGATATATCTATTGAATACACTTCCCCCCCATGATGATAACTTGGTTCAACAAATGCCTTTTGAGAGTGGCTTTTTGTTCTGATCTGGGGAAAATGTTTTCAATAGATTTATTCCAAGCCATTGGTTCCTATTCTGCCTATCCAGTTGCATGATGTTACAAACAAATATTGAAGATCTAATTAACTAAAAAAATCACAAGGACATTTATTTGTTTTAACAAGTCGATCATTCAAGATTGGCTTTTAGATTTTGATGCAAGCTAACATAATGCTCGAGAGATCATTTGAAGGAACCCTTTCATTTTTCTACTCATGTCAGAATCCAAACTAAAACGGTCAACTTGTAGGGTTTGTTGATTTCCTTACTGGCCATGACTCACACTGGCGCATATCACGAATTCACGCTTCAATACTCCTCTATGGAGTGTTTTAAATACATCTCATTTGATTTGTATATATGGTTGAAGATCGACCTGACGCACGTCTATACGGATCCAAGTTACAGTACAATCAAATTGTATTTAGTTTTAGCTTATTCAACTTTATTGTTGAAAGGTTGTGTTCTCAACTCAAGTTAGTTGATTTTAGTATTATTGTTAAGAAGTTGTTAAGTAATCTTTCAGGGAAGTAGTTCAGTTGGATAATTATTATTGTCATTAGCAGTTGCAAAAAATTTCGGAAAACGTATTATAAGTGATTGTTTAAAAATTGTTTCTAATCACTCTTAATTTATATCGAATATATTGTTCTTTCTAACACAACTATTTTGATGTATTATAAATAATTTTTATAAAACAGAACAGATATTTTCTGAAAAGTCTACATTTATTTGTTGAAACTGAAAACCATAAAAAAATAATGTCCCAATTGAAATTTAAGTAAATTACTATTAAAATCCGTTATTTAGTAACCGTAAGTTTCTGAACTTTCCCATTCTATTATTACTCATGTCAAGATACTATTAGTAGACTTTGGGTTGTTTCTGATTGTACCGACATTTTCATTGTAAGCTGTTCATAGTATCAACATGAGACAAAATGAATTTAACAATTAAAGCAGAGCTTCATTTAGTTATTGTAATATTTGTACTAAATGTTAAAATCTGTTATCTGCTTTTATAATAATTCCTACTGAACCGATCTTCAATTCAGCCAGTGTGAACTTTGTCTGGACTAATGCAGTTCTATTAAACAAATAATTGAGTCAATGTTTTCGGTTTTAATTTGAATAATTTTGTGCTTCTTACCGTAGAACCGACGCTTAGATATTTTCAAGGTCACAGACGGCAAGAAAATCAAATACCTCTACAAAAATGATATAAGTAGAAAACAATAATATACTTTATGTTCGTTAAGTATCTATTTTGTGAAGCTTCTTGAAGAAAAGTAAAATGGTACAATATTTGTTTGATTTCTACCTCAAAACGTCTTAGTAGGTTCTAGCTACTAATTCGTTTTTTTTTATGATAAACGTTCTCTCATTAGTGTTATTGGTTTTCAATGTCACTTAATGTGTTTCCTATGTTACATTTTGTTGTACACATACTAACACTGAATTTTTGTCCCTTCACCGTTCCTTCCCATCACTTTTTATTTGATCCCAACTCCCTACAGAAGTTTGTCAGCTCGCCATCTTCCTTAGACGAAATGTCCAACCATAGCCTGCGTTTACCGCTCTGGGACAAAGCCTCGGCTGAATTTTATTTCGCCAAATCTCGAGAGCTCCTCACGCGGCCATTTCCTTCCGCCCATGCTCCTCACAATTCGTGTCGTAACCTCAATACGTTACACTCCGGACGACGTGACTTCGATTTCAAAAGACAGTTTCACAACTCGTCGTTCGAAGACCAATACTACCGTCCTCATTCGAACTACAGGGACCGGACCCTGACAAAGTCCGAAAGCATGAGTCGCAAGACATATTCCGATTCGAGATACAGGCTGGAATCGAACCAGTTTTGCCCAGAACCTTTCGTTGAGAAGCGGCCGCATTATTATGAAACGTCGTACGTTTATTATAAGACTGAGGTAGATAAGAATTTTGATAACGCCAAGTACGATATTCATGTAGGGACTGACGATCCGTTCGGTAGGCCGCGAACCTTGAGCTTGAGCGAGACGCGAGAACAGTTCAAGAAGCGCCAAGGACGCAGCATCAAAGACCGTAACCGCAGGCGGCAGTCGTACAACCCGAGAGCATACGAAAGTAGCTCGAGCGAGAGCGATTGCATCAGCGTAGGTTCTGCAGACTTCGACTGGCGCAGGCGCAGACGCCTATCCCGATTGACGGGTTCCACTATGAGTATACGCTCGGAAATGGTGAAAGGTTCTACTAATCCCTTTTTGAAGCCTTCGTTTAATGTCAAGATGACGGGCAGGTCTCCTCCGCCAAGCAACAGCGTCCTGAGCGGTTTGTCGCCGACTTTGGTCGCTAGATGTCAGCGCTCTTCGAATTCGACCAGCTCTGATTCCAGCCTGTGAGCGGGTCATTGGTGGAAATGTGAAAAGAGGTTGTTTTTCAATGATGAATATTCAGTGGATGTTAGAATGCCATAAAAACTTGTCATAATAGATTTTTTATATATTACACAGGGTATTTTAGTGAATAGTTTGCCAACAGGTGAAAAAGTGACAACATTTTTCTGTGTGCTTTTTCTGGTACTACTTTGACTAAGAATACGAAAGTTTCACTTGAGATCTAGCTGAGTAGTACCCGTGATATATTCGACAGACCGAAACAGAGCTGTTAGAATAACATTTATAACATACTTCAGCATGAAATATTTAATATTTTCATCTGGCTTCCAATATATTTTTTCACCAATTTGACTGCTGAAGTCTTCAGTTCTGCAGAACTGAAAAAAATAATAGAATTGACATCCCATCATGGGTATTGAAGTCATTAGTCATAGTGTGGATATAGGGAGAGACTTTGGCTGATATGGTTATGATGTAAAAAAGGTTATTTTGAAAACTAACAATATTTTCATATTTCAGAATGTTGGGAATTTATTAAATTTATTTACATGTCTCCAAAAAATCTTGCAATTCACTACAAATTTGTATTTTTGGTAAATGGTTTGTTCATAATTGCCAAGACAAAATCATGATCTCGAGCACCTTTTTATATTCTTTTTTGCTTCGGTAGATCTTCGTAGTAGTTTGATACTGAAACTTTCAATAAATAGCATTTGATGCCTATCTGTAGTGGTGTAAACTTTGAAGATATTTTACTATTATTAGTAGAATATACAACAGAATTAAGTGGTAGAAAGGAAGGCACTATCAGATTCAGCAAAATTATCAAGGATATATAATTTGTTTATTGGGTATTTAATATCAAGCTATTGAATGTGTCTTGAGCTACTTGTCAACTTCTTTGATTTTTTGGAGTCAACTTTGGCGTTAAATAAAGTTTTTTTAAAGCTTATCGAATATAATTACGTTTGATGATTATCTTGCAATTGCAAATTGCAACTATATCTGTGATTTGCTGTATTATTTTCGAATACATATTTCATATTTCAAATATTGTGGTATTCATACATCTATGAATATTTTCATTGCAAAAATTACTCTCTGCTGAAATATACCCAGCAATATTTTTTTCGTCTCTGTGACCGAGCAGTGATATATACAGTAGTGTGTAGCTTTTTACTCGACTAACTTGTCATACAGCGCAGTGTATTTATTCAAACTCTAAATATATTCGTGAGATTCCCTCCCATAGTTTTAGGAGAACATATTTAAGGGCGAGTTCCTTCATTATTCGATCCCAACCTCATTATCCTTGTTTTTAGTTTTCATTTCTTTTCTTTTTATTGGTTATTTTTCCCTTTAGTCTAAAGTTACGCAAGAGGCTCACGCTGCTTACCAGGGGTTGGTGGAGAGTCCCACGAATGACGTCTCGCAGGTAAGATAGAGTAATTTATGATAACTTCAACAGCCAACTAACAACCCTCCTCCCCGCCTAGTAATGACCTCAGAAGTCTTTGAGTGACTGAGAGCTAGGGAAACCATAATTTTCAACTTATAATCAAATTTGAATAGAACATGAAATATGAATATGACACAGAAGCATGTGTATCTATTTATTCACTTAGGACAATGTCATTTTACAAGCACATGTAACACAATTGATGAAATATCAAGAATGGCACCAATATGCCCAGACAAAAACATAAACACTAGTCACTGACTAAATCCAAAACAAGCACTGTTCCCAAACACCAGAACTGTAACACGCTTCTCGACGCGCGTTTCACCAACCAAGTTTGCGCCTACAGTTTTCTTTGGATTTATTCTACGCTTATTCTTTGTTGAAACAAAGTTCATGAGACCAGGTAACGGTGTACGATAAATAAAGTCACAAAAATTTAATTTGAGGTTATTTGCCCTACTTACAATTCTAGTAATTGATGCTGCCACCACACCTATTTATGTATTACCATTTCACTGATGTGCTTCATGATTATGTTTCATGTTTTATTTCATTGTATCATCTATCATTCTATCAATCTGTTTCATCGTAATGCCCTATGTTTTATTATAAAGTGTCAATAATACCTATTATAATTGTATATTGGGAGCTGTAGCTTTGTTAAGAACTAATAAAATTGATATTGGTATTAGTGAGACTATGGCGACCGTAATCATCATTATGTGACTTTACATAAAAAAGATTCTTTGATCTAGTCCAGATGGAATTAACCTTCAATACAATATTCGAGATTGATTCTGATAAGAGTTTGACAAAAAAGCACAAGTCAAGTTGTGTTCTTCTATCTGTTAGTGATGCGATTTTTAATCTGGAGCATACATCTTCGTGATTTTTAATCTGGAGCAGATATCACATTAAAGAAGCATTGATATCAATGCTCTTTCATTCATCACATTGTGTAGCTTTCCTGTAAATGATATGTGTTTTAATTTCATAACGAATTTTTGAATGAAAAAAATGTTTTCTCATGTAGTATTGTTCATTTGAGAGTAGTTGTTTGGAATGAACTTTTTCTTCCGTGTAATTCAATATTCATGTGAAAGTAGTTGTTTCGGGAGGGTTTTGTATCTGAAAGAAACGTGTTCTTCACGTATTTGCTAAGGGTCTATTATAAACTCAATTGATTTCTTCCTTTCTTGGTAGTTTTCCATATTTTTTGAATAAAGATATAGAAGTAGAAATTCAAAAAAATTCTTTCTCAAAAACTAATCTTTCGTGGAAAAATTTTGAGATGGAATAATTGTTAATTGAATTATAGTTAATGGTTACGAACCCACTAAGAATATTGAGGTCTGGACAACCAGTTATCAATACAAGAACAAGGTCGTCAAGCATGGCTAGTACATTACCTCCGAAAATGGGGAGTTTGGTCAGAAGCTCCGTACCCGAAAATTTACATAATAGGCCAGGTATATATGAAATATATATATTATTTGAAAAGATGTATATTTAACGAAGTTATAATTTTTTTTTAGAATTTTCCCATGCAACTCTACCACGCCAAACGACACCATTTCGTACCTCCACTTCAACTGCAGGAATCAATAATCATAAGGATGAAAACCCTATTCCGTTACCGCCACGGGATCGAAATAAAATCCTGCTAACAGCAAAACCTCGACACACGCGGAAGCATCCTTTAATTATACCCCCTACGAGCTTACAAAGAACTTTGGATAAGGTAACAAAAGTTTTTAAATTGCTTTATTGCACTATTGTCATCAATCATTTCAGGTGAACACTGTATCACCTCCTCCAACGTCTAATAGGGACCCATTCGTAAGACCAGAACCGGTGTACACTAACAATGCTGCCGAGAAGAATCCAGAGTCTCAACACTTTGAAGAGCAGATAGAATCAAACTTGAACGCTCTAGATGAAATTCCAGGGGAACAAGATATCGTAGACGGGGTCGAAGGTTTTGTTGATCTGAAGGCTGATGAAGAGAAGATTCACAGTCATCATGTAAGCTGTGAGGATCTCTTGAAGTTCGCAAACTCTAAACCGCCTTCGAGAACTAGAGGAAATGATTCGGATGAAGTCAGGATTATGTCGAAAGTGTTGGGGAAAGATGTGAGTGACTTTAATGTTTCTGTCCACAAACTTGCCATATCACCATTACATTGAAAATCATAGGCTGACACTTTATAGAAAATTGAACAGTTTTCAGTTGGAAGAATATATGCACAAATAACATTATTGGGTTCATTGAATTTAGGAAAAAATCGGTGATGGAATTGGCCGTTACTTGATGAAAATCAATTATGTATTCAAGTGACACTTTACTGTAAAGTTTTTACTGGATAGTTTACAAAAGCGCAACAACTGCAAAATGTATTTTCATAATAAAACGCTTGAGAGAGCTATCGTATAGTAAAACAAGTGTTGTGGCTATGTAAACTGTCCAGTGAAAATTTCGCAACAGTGTCTAACAGGCGTTCTTACAGGTCACTGTCAATTGAATCATAATATGCTGAGACTCGGACTGTCGGAAGACAGTGTGTGTCGCATCCGTTTGGAACATGATTAAACAGCAGAGGACATACTTTGTGCATGCCCCGCTGGGAACCGAATCAAGTTTTTAGAGTTCGGTTTGAGCCACAAAAAATCCTTGCAGACTGGACCCAACCTAACCTACTTAATGAGAACAAAACTTTCAAAAGTTATATTGAATATCTGTTCCTTTCTGTCAAAAGTTCGAAAATATATTTGACTGAAGACGTTCAAATGACAAAGTATTCTTCCCACATTCTTGAATGGTGAATTTTTGTATACTGACATAGGAAAACATAGAGACTTAATACTTCTATTTAAAATTATCAACGGACTGATTACAAGCCCCGAGCTTCTCTACAAATTATCTCTACTTGTCCCCGGTCATTCAGCTAGGCAGGTGCAAACCTTTTATGTTTCTTTTCACAGATTCGATTACTCATACAAGAGCTTTATCCCCAGAACTCTTGAGTAGCTAACCCTTTGAATAACGTTCAAACCATTAATATATCATAATGAAGAAAAGAGAGTTGAAACTTTCTATGTTTTTTTACCACTTTTATTTGTAACTGACGTTACTGCAGTTTCGTCCTATAAGGACATTTTCAAACTTATACATTAAGTTTAATGTACACATTAAGTTATAAGGACATTTTCAAACTTATGCAATAAATTTAATGTTTAAAAAAATCTGTTTTTTTCGTTTATCAGCTGTCGCCTCCATACGAACGACAACTCTCAGAAGTTGAGAAACTTGTGCGAGCTAAGGACTAACAAGGTCTTACCTTTTAACGTGTGATTCCTAATACGGTATACATAACATGTATACATTAAACTTGATTTATAAGTTATAAAATGTCATTATAGGACGAAACTGCAGTAACAACAGTTACAAATAAAAGTGGTAGAAAACATAAAAAATTTCAATTCTCTTTTCTTCATTATGATTTCTTACCACATAGTAACGGCTACATCCATCAATATATTAATATGTCAACAGCTTGGGCTGTTGTATTATGTTTAGTGTTACTTTCCTGCAAGAATTAGATTAGTTCATATTGTGAATTTTTCTTAATTAATCTATGTTACTACTACTACTATGTTACTATTTTGAAACTGTATTCTCAAAATTTACTTTCAGTCTACTACATCACATCGTGAAATTTAAAAAATGTAGTTATTTTCTGAATATACCCGGTGAATATTGAACGTTTTTTTTCCCTAAAGGTCACAACAGAAAAGTGTCTTCAGGCATTAGATCAATCTGATTGGGATGTGATGAAGGCCATAAAAATCCTTAAACTTCAGAACGTCGTTAGCACTGATCTCTCTGCTTGTTTTAATGCATTAGAAAACTCCATGTGGGACATTACCAAAGCAGCCCAATGGATTCTTCAACAAGATGGAGAAGTAACCCAAGTTTAATTTTGAAAGGTTGACATATTGAAAAAATGAAGCCAGGCTGATATATTTACATTTGAGTGGTTTTGAGAGTCTTGTTACCTACAGAGCAAGGACAACTCTGGGTTTTATTCTGATGGGGAGTTAGTGATAGTAGAAAAAGTTCCATTTTACTCAACATTAATTTGAAAAAAAAATTGAATTGTGGATTTTTAGGCAAGTTTTATTGGATATTTCTGTTGAAAATATCAAAGTTGTCCTAGCTCGTTCAATATGACTTTCAAAAAAGTACAGACACAACAGCAACATAGCATTTAGAACAGTACTGTATGTATTCAAATATTTTTGAAGCTTTTTACTCAAATTTTTGAACTTCAAAAAATTTTTCTATAAAAGCACTGAAGACATTTCATGGATCTCAAGATATGTTTTTCTTGATGATTTCGTTCATTTTGATGCAGATTTGTGGCATAAACAGAGTGGTACACTTCCTGTCATATTTGGCTAATACAGCCTTCGGTTTAATCAAACATTTTTTCATAAAAGAATGTAAACTTTCACGACCGGAGATAAGAGTGTGAAAGCTATTTTCCGTTATTTTTCCGTGGTCTGCAGGTTTTTATGTCTGACGTTTCGTCTACTACTGCGGTAGACATCAAAGGCGATGAGGTAATGGTTGAAGTGCTCAAGTTGCAAATGACCCTCTTCAACATTGATGATTGAGGTTTTCTCTTCATTCAGTGGGAGTACAATTTCAGAAAATTCATACTTAGCCATTTCAAAAATATATCTGAATCAAGATAAAATACTTTCTTTTCTTTGTTGCTTTCATAATATTTCCCATCAAAGTTGGCAAAAATTCTTCGAGGTCTGCTCGTTCATTGAAGAATTTTGATATACGTGGCGGTGGTAATGATGTAACGTTATGACACATAAATCTGATCTTCGGGCTCAGTGGCGGTACATTGGGAATATCTACATGAAATGAGATGTTCGCTTTTATATTTTGTCCAATATGCATATTCCCCAGGGACTGAGAATCCATTCATTTGTTATATGTCAGGAAGTGTTCTAAAACGATGATATGAATTTTCTGTGAATATTTAATTAAGGGGAGTTACATTTATGTTTTATATTTTTCATTTTCTGACAACTACGTTAGTTTAAATTCATTTAGAAAAGAGTAATTTATTTCTTGCATTGATTGTTATTCAAATCATGAACACTAGGTTTAAAATGACATAATTGAGTGAGGACTTCGTAATCGTGATTCGTTGTTTGGCTGTTTTTCAGAATTGATGACCTATATCTATTCGAATAAGTGAAAACTTGAGTATTGATGACACTTCTAAAAAACAGAAATACAACAAAGATATACTGTATTTTTAAGTTTTAAATTTATAGAAAAATCTCATGTAGAGTTTTATATCTCTTCAATGCCATAGATCTGTTTAACCTTCGTTCATCATTAGATGCAGCCATAATTTTTATTGACTATTGGACATTAATTTCATACCAAATATAAAACTGACATAGTTATAAAATCATTGGAGCAATCGTTATTTGCCTCGTGCTCAAAACTGAATTTCATTGTTTTGTTCATTTTATCTTCTGATTAAATTTTGAGTATTGAAATACTCAGACTTATTGATTCAATTGAAATACTCAGAATTATTGATTCGATTCAGTGAACAAGATTTTAGTTAGTTATTATTAAGAAAATTCAAAATTCACTGTCACTTCACATGCTGAATTCACAGACAACTTCTTCAAATTTAAAATGCAACACGGCTATTTCAAATGGCTGCTTCAAAGACAATGAGACATTAAAATTTTTTGATCGGATATTATAACTCTAGTGGAATTGAATTGAATACAAAAATAATTTTATTTTTGCTTGTCATTGCCAAAGTTATACTGAAAATATATGCTCATCTGAGAATTAATTTATAAACATATTAGATTTAACACAAATATAGACAAAGAATGGATACTTTTTGAATACAATTGTATATATCATTATGTTGAACATTCTTCAGAGAAGCTTTGACTTATTAACGTTAAAATTTCAACAGAGATTCTAATAAATTTATATTTAATTTGTTAACAATCGTATGGAGCATATTTTTGTTGAAATTGTAATTGCAGTTTTAGCAGAAGATGGCATCACTTTCCAAATTCAAATTTCAGTATGTCTTGTAAAACAAGGGATGGATTATCAATCAGTCCATTATCTATTTGGAGGGCGAACCATAAGCAATTTTGCTATTGACAAACATTTGGACGTCCTAAAAGAATATTTGCCAGTTATCAGAATTGTAACATGATGTGTGAAACGAATTATAAATTCTATCGAAAGTTCTACTCTTCGAAATGGACACTGTATTCATGGGGAATATTGTTGAACAATAAATGGGTATATCACAGAATATGTTCAAATATTATCCCTTGAAATGACAACTTTTTCTATATGTATTCAGTTGGGTTTGGTGTATCACTTGTGAGAATTATGAAAAGAAGCTTTTTGTCTATTTGGGCCTCGCTTGACATTCAAAAACGATATTTATGGAATAAAGTGGCTACCACAAATGCCGAAATATCATAATACTACTGAAAAATTCAGCTTGACGTCGTCCATAAATGATAATATAGGAAAATTGTGAATGAACAACTTTCGAGTGATTCTAATTTCTTTACTAGTAATTAATTGGAAAATTATTGGGATCTGAGTTGCAACTGAGTAAAAACACCAAACAATTTTGGTGCTAGCATGTAATTTTTCATTTTGAAGTTTGTGTTAAAATTTTATGAATAAATGTCAAGTATTTCCATCTATTGGTTAGTTTTATCATTATTCCAAAGTAGTCTATTATAGATTCCAATAATTGATAAGATAAAATTGATTTATAAGTATAAATGTGGGATTACACAGTGTCTATCAGGCTCGAGCAGATAGATATCCTCTTTTTTCCACTTTACGTGAGGAGAAAAAAATTGCTTGCTAAAGCATTTTACACAATACATCCACCATCACCATCTTCAAGCAGTTGAAGCCAGTGATATTGACAATTATCGTTTCAACTCTAAAAATGTAGTAGACGACATTTTGATCTACCAACTCGATAGGGTGGACCAAGTCGATATCTTGACATTGTTAAATTCGTAGTGACATTTTTGGGAAAGAAAGTTTTTGGCTTTCTACTACTCCATATGTATCAGATGTGACATATTGCACGTGCTTCTAGTTGAAATCATAATTGATTTCAATAACTTTTGATCATTGATCATTACTTAGAGGACAATGACAGAGTATTCAACTAACACTTTTGAAACTTACTTACATATACTTATCTAGAGCATATAAAACCTAATTGAATTCACAATATTATAACACTCTTACTGAAAACCATTTATTGTATATATAACACTATACAAAATTAAAATAGCGATAACCGCACGAACTGCTGGATCTAGTAAAATCAATTTGAAATTGCATTAAAAAAAAATAACATTTTTCATAGATCTGGTCGTTGAATAAAACTGATTGTAGATCTCAAAACAGATCGTTAATCTATTTATTCTATTGGTCGGTCGGTTCGACGTGGGTGCTTTGTTCACTCACTCGAATTAACCGCCGTGTTGGTCGGTGGTTCAAGCCCCAGGCTGAACGATCGATTTTCACTTGTTATTGTCCAACTCGTGTTAGGATTAACACGTTGAAAGGTAAGACCTCGTTAATCCTTAGCTCGCACAAGTTTCGACTTCAGATTCTTCATATGAGACGTGTAGATGAATCGTTCTCTCGTGCTTGTCCTGTCTTCCCTTAATGCCAAATGAATCGAAAATAGTTAAAATTGTGAAAATAAAAAAAAATATTGAAACGAAATTTACTTCCGAGGTTTCAGTCAGTAGATACTTTGGAATTTTTGACTATGTCCTTCGAAATTTTTAAATAAATGTCGACAGATTTGGAAAAGTTCCAATTTCATGTGAATCCATTTGTCTTGTGAGCTGAAATTTTCAGACTGTATGTTTTGAAAATTTACAACTGAAGTCTGTTATCAACTTTGTTTTTCCAAAACAAGTCTGGAATCAACTTTAGCATATTTTAATCTGTTATCAGTTGAAAGAAATGAGTGAAATATTTTTTCAGGCTACGCTATTGTCCAGTGCTCCTAGAAATATAGTTTTTCAAAATTCCTCCAAATGCACTCAAAAACAAAATGGTGTTACAAAACCAAACTTATCACCTAACCTAGATTATAATTTGAATCTCTCTAACCCATCTCATATACATATAATCCCGCTACTGCGAGCTTTTTGCTAATGTTGTTGACCATCTTCAGAGAATCTGTAAGTATGTCCACAAATGACTTGAAGCTGTGTTGTGTCGACTAAAGTTATAGATACTTNAAAAAAATAGTTTTTTCAAATGAAGAAATACATGTGAAGAGAGTTCGAATTATATCTAGGAGGTTAGTACAGCAATAATGTCGATAGATCAAAGAGGTTACGTACAGCGCCATCTGCCCGCGAATAGATCAAACAATAATGTCGATATATCAAGAAGGTTACATACATACATACATACACACAGGTGAAGCTAATAAAAACGTGTTAAAATTAATGAAAACAAGCTAATTTCATGACTTAAATTGACGTTGACTTAACACTCCCAAGAAATATCTATTAATATAACACTTTTGTGAAACTCTTTAAATAGTAAAATTAATTCCGTCTTTCATACTGATAATCTCGTAATGCTTGCTCAGAGGTACTTATCCGAAGGATTAAAAGGGTTCAGGAATTATGAATAATAAAACACTATCGTCTCGGGTTTCAGCTAAATCAATATATTCTCAAATTGAACGATATCACTTTGATATGGATTTAACACATTAAAATAATGAATGGGTCGGTATTATTGACAGACGAACATCGAGTACACATCATATCACATTCTAATCCATTATGTAAATGATCTTTTAATAGAATCTGTCAACAATGCCGGGAGATTTCATGATGACCCCGCTATACATTCTGATGTAGTATGGTTAATGTATTCATCATACATTAATGTTTGGCAGAAGTAGTGATAATTGGTTGTTCATTGTGGTAAAACGACACGATCTGATTACGGAATCGACTAAGGGGATAATGGTAGATGCTTTCAAACATTTGAACAACTTAAACGGAAAGTTGGAGAATATGGT